CAAGAGCAATGTTAAGGGTTGCAGGCCTAGAAAAATCATTTTGGGAAGAAGCAGTCAATACCGCATGTTATTTGGTGAATCGAGCTCCATCAACTGTAATAGAGCTGAAGACACCAATGAAGATGTGGACTGGTAAACCAGCTGATTATTCAAACCTCCATGTATTTAGAAGTATAGTGTACGTGATGTATAACTCCTAAGAAATTTTATTGAAAACTTTTTGATATTTCGATATAACAAATTAAGATAAATGAATTTTAAGATTTTCCAAAAAGATTTTCTAAGTATATTCGATATAATTATTTGAATATTACTCCAAATCTTTCAAATGTTATTTTTAATCCTTACTCAAGTGTAAAATTAAGTCTTAATCTTAAAATAATTTCAAAATAATTTTACAAAGTATTTCGAACCATTTCAAAGCAAAAAAATCCAGTATGTCCAGAGGGAACCAATTCCCCCCTGAATGGTTTGGCTCCGAGAAAAACAGAATGCTCGGAGGGTACCGATTCCTCCTGATCAACGGTCAAAATATTTGAATTTTATACTTAGGGAACTGAATCCTCATGAGGGGGTACCATTTCCCCCCACGCTCCAAGCAGTTTTATTAGTTGATTTCACACTAAAACGACTCTATTGACTCCACTAATCATCCCAACATTCAGAATCATTTGAAGGTGCATTTAAACAAGCTTAGAAGCCATTGATGAAAAACAAGAAACAACAAGAAACTAGAATCAAGAGAGAATCAAAGAGAACGCAACAAACCTCAAGTTTGAGCATTTCAAGCCTATTTTTCATTCAATATTCATTTTTCTTTCAAGAACACTACTTGTACTTAATTGTATTCATTCTTGAGTGTTCTTTTCTTTGTTCTTGAATTGTGCAAACAATCTACCTTCTGAGGATTTCCTTGTAAGTTTGCAAATTTGTAATATTCTCTTTGAGAAAGAGTGTTCTTAAGAATTGGGGTATATTCTTGAGGGAGTTGTAAGGTTATCTCTTTGGCGTCAAAAGAAAGAACAAATTAGTGAATTTGTTGGAAAATCCTTAGTGTGGATATCTAAGGTAGTGGACGTAGACTTTGATTGAGAAAGTCGAACCACTCTAAATCACTGTGCAATTACTTTCAATTTTCTACAAAAGCTTCCACAAAAATTTTAATTGCCAATTCACCCCCTCTTGGCCGATTCCGTCAATCGATTAACTCAACAAATTTCAAAGTTGGATCCAAAATCCAGGATATGCAAATTATTGGGGTATGATGATGGTGTAAAGGGGCATCACTTGCGGGATCCAACTGCCCGCAAAGTGATCATTAGCATGGATGTTATCTTTGTAGAAGATAAACTACAAAGAAAAGAAGATGGTAGCAGTGAAAAGTCAGAGACTACGTAGATACATGTGGAAAAGGAGTTTGAACTAGGTGCAATGTACATTCCTAAAAAAATGACTTTAATAAGGTGCAATATGGTAATGATGCAAAATGATTTGCTGCTCATATTCAGGAACACATATTCTTAGATTTGATCATTGCTTTGCTTGAAAAGGTATGGCTCTTCCCAATGGTACGCACATATATCTCTCATGAACTTTTTCTTCCTTAGTAACTAAGTTTAGGTGGAAACAATCCACTTACCAAATAGTTAACAAAATTAACATACCAAGACAAAACTTCAACAACAAGTAATCTATCATTGAGAAAGGTGTCCAAAATTACTAGTAGTTTTCCATATTCATTACCAACTTCCAATTGTGATAAATGATCAACCACTTGGTTGTCAAATCCTTTCTTGTCTCTAACTTCAATATCAAATTCTTGAAGTAACAAAACCCATCTCATTAACCTCGACTTAGTATCTTTCTTGGCAAAAAATGCTTCAAATCCGAATTGCCAGTGTAGACAATGACCTTAGTTCTAACTAAATAAGATCGAAATTTATCAAAGGCAAACATAAGCTAAAATGGACAATCGCAATCTGGTGCTACAAATATAGGAGCAGTAACTAATTTTATCTTGATTGTTTCAAAGGATTTCAAAACTTCATCATCAACCAAAAATTTCCTATTTTGTTCCAATAGTGAGCATAATGGTCTAGCAATCTGAGAGAATTTTTTGATAAATATTCGATAAATATTAGTATGTCCTAAGAAACTTCTAATTGATTTCACATTGGTGAGAGGTCGCAGCTTTTCAATAATTTCCACTTTAGCTTTGTCTACTTCAATGTCACGGCTAGAGATATGATGCCCTAGCACTATACCTTCAGTCAGAATGAAGTGACATTTCTCCCAATTTAAAACTAAATTAGTTTCTTCATATCTTTTCAATACAGAAGCTAAATGAGTGAGACATTATCAAAGTCTTACCCAAAAATCTCATCAATAAATACCTCTAAGTAGTTTTCAATCATATAAGAGAATATCTCCATCATACATCACTGAAATATTGCTGGAGCGTTGCACATACCAAACGACATCATTCGAAAGGAAAAAGTACCATATGGGCAAGTGAAACTAGTTTTCTCTTGATCCTCAAGGGCTATAGCTATTTGGTTGTAACCACTATACCCATCTAAGAAACAATAGAAAGCTTTGTCGGTGAGATGATCCAACATTTGATCTATAAATGGCAGCGTGAAGTGATATTTCCTTGTAGCCTTGTTGAGCTTTCTATAGTCCATACAAATTTTCTAACCAATAATGGTCCTTGTTGGTATTAACTTATTTTTGTCAGTTGTCACTACTGTAATGATGTCTTTTTTCGGGATAAACATTACAGGTCATACACAATTACTATATAATATTGGGTATATAACTCCACATCCAACCATTTTATGATCTACTTTTGAACAAGTTCTTTCATGATCGAATTCAACCTTCTTTGTTGCTCGACTGAATTGCTTTTGGGATCCTTCAGCAAGATTTTATGCATAGAGAATGTTGGGTTAATGCCTTTAATTTTAGTAATGCTCCAAATAATTACTCACTTGTGCTACTTCAAAACAACAATCAACTTGGCTTCCTATGATGCATCAAGCTTTACTGCAATAATGGCTGGCAAAGTTTCATTGTCTCCAAGGTTAGCATACTTCAAATGTTTGGGCAAAGGATTCAATTCCAATGTGTACTCTTCAATTAAGGTTTTAAGAACATGAATATGTTGATTAGGTAGTTCTAATGATTCAAAGTGTTACATATATTTGCTTTCAGCCCCCTCATTCTCAATTATCTCTTAAATTGTCACAATATTTGTTTGTAGAATTGTTCATGTTGGGGCATTCATTCAAATTCTCATGCCCGAACATATCAATAATATCAATCAAATATCATTCATTATTATTATCAACATAAGAAACATTATTCAAGATATTAAAAGTAATGTTTTCATCATTCAAACGAGTAGTAAGTTCCCTTCTCTCCACATCGATCAATGACCAGCTGATGGTGAGAAAGGGACGACCAAGTATGATGGGAACATCCTTATCTACTTCAAAATCCAAGATGATGAAATTTGTGGGAAAAATGAAATAGTCCACTTAAACTAGCATATTTTCCACAATGCCACTAGGATGCATGGTGGATCGACCAGCAAGTTGTAAAGTGACGGTGGAAAGTCTTATTTCTCCACTCCCAAATTTCCTAAATATTAACAATGGCATTAGGTTAATTCTATCACCCAAATCACATTAAGCTTTTCCTACAAATTGTTCACCAATAATGCAATGAATAGTAAAACTCTCTGGATCTTTAAGTTTCGGTGATAATCGACTTATAGCCATAACAATACATCCTTCAGTAAGTGCAACAATTTGAAATTCCTCAAGTCTTCTCTTCTTGGAAAGAAATTCTCTCATGAAGTTAATGTAGTTCATATTTTGCTCCAATGCTTCAATCAGTGGAATATTGATTATCAATTGCCTAAGAACATCAATGAAAGCCTTAAAATTTTTTTCTTCTTAAATTATTTAGGGAATGAAGGAGGTAACCTTGTATTTGGATATTGTTCCATTAGAATCGATGAAGTATATGATAGTGTTGTAGGCATTGCTAGTGGCAATGGTCTATAATTACAACACTGTCCAATCTCTCTTGCTTTAACATCAACAGTAGGCTTTCAAGATCCACTTCCATGATATTGTCCTTATCTTGCCTCTTATCATCCATCTTAGGTTCCTCAATAGGCTTCCCAATGTGAACTTCACTTCAAGTTGTAATGGTCTTGCAATGCTCATTGCATTGGGCTTTCCCTTATTGCTTTAGATTGTTAGTATCACTGGTAGTTTTACTTATGGTATACTGCTCAAAGCATTTACTAGTTGGCCAACTTGATTCTCTAAATCTCTCAATAATGTTGATTGACTTTCCATGTATTCCTTCATTAAAACTTTAAGAGATGTAAGCTTAGTGTCTTGTGTAGATTGTTTTCCTTGATAGTTTTGGCATTGTTGTGGATGTATGGCCTGTTGATGCAATTGAGGTTCTAGAATTAACTGTTATTGATTGTAGTGCTTCTGCTAAGGATTTTCAATATTTTAGCTTCTCTAGGATAAATTGAGATGGTTGCGATATTTGGCATTATAAATGTTGCCATAAGAATTTTCATTTATATTATAGTTCTTCTAATAGTATATAGATTCGTAGTTTCGAGGGCATTATTCATAATTGTGATTCTCACCACAATATATACAAGAAAGAATAGACGTGGTTTTTACCTCGTAAATACCTTATGGATTTTGTATCTTTTTGACCATATCTGTCAATTATGTGATTTGAGAAGACATGTAATTGAAAACATCTATATCCACTGCTGCATTGCATTTGCCAAACATGTTCCTCATATTACGATATTGGTAATCGTTGTTCGATATTCTTTCTAGAATATCATAATCTTCATTGTATGTATTATCCAATAATACTCCATTGGCAGAAGCATCCACCACCATACGAGTTTGCATGTTCAATCATTATAAAACATTTCCATTTACATCCAATGTGGGAATCCATGCATTGGGCATTTACACAGTAAGTCTTTGAATCTTTCCCATGTCTCATACAAACTCTCATCTTCTACTTGCTTAAAATATGTCAAGTCATTTCATAAATTTTCATTCATATTTGATGGATTGAATCACACAAAAAACTTTTTTGCTAACTCATTCCAAGATGCTATAACACCAAGTGGTAACAAATTCAACCATGCTATGGCTTTATTTTTCAATGAATAAGGAAGTAACTTTAGCTTTAGCATTTCTTTGGGGACTCTTTGTTGAATAAATGAGTCGCACACTTCCATAAATTATCGAAGGTGTGCTCAAGGATCTTTAGTGAATGAGCCACTATATTGTCCCATGGATTGTAAAATTTGAAATATCCCCGGTTTTAGCTTGAAATTGGCAACATGAATTTCTTGTCGTACATTACCATGATACAAATAATCTAATGTTTTCACAACATACTAACGAATAACCTGATTACGATCATCTATGTTGTAATATTGTTGTTGGTTAACTCCAGCTCCAACCAAAATTTCATTTTCATTTTCATGTTGTAATGTAGGTAGAACAATGTTACCATTTCCAACATTCATGTTTGCTTGATTTCTAACAGCTTCTCTCCTGTGACGATGAACTGTTCATTCTATTTCTAAATCAAAAGGTTATAACTCGTTGTTGTTATGGGACATTAATCTCTTGGAAATGTATATGCTAAGGCAAGCAATTATATGCAAGTATACACAATTGAATCAAGTAATATAGGGTAAGTAAGTTATCGTCTCCTCAAGGATTGGTCATTTCTTTTTAAGTTTCCCCACAACCAGAACTAGTTGTCACAAGCTAATTCCGTAAGTCTTGCCGAACTAAAAAACTATTAGTAACAAAATAAAGAAAAAAAATTATAAAGGATGGTTGCAAACAAGTTTGGTCGAGGTAAAATAAATATGCAAAACTATCGAATTAGAATAAATAAAGCAAAGACAAGCGTTGATTTAAATATATTCAAAACAACCTCACATATTCAGACTTTTCATAGAGCACTCATGCTAATATTATGTTATGACAAGAAATTATTCTAAGTCTAGAATGAATTGAATTGTTATGATATGCTTAAGATGCCTGACAGGATTATTGAGTATTGTTAGACGGTTGTTATGACAATACTACTCAGCGTTAACTACAACCCTTGAGTTTTCATACTATTGTTGTAGCAATACCCCTCAGCGGAACAATAATCGTTGTTTATCCTACTCTAGCGTCTATCCCTTTTAGTTGATTGAACCCTCTCCTTATCTCTAAGGTAGATAAGTTATAACATCACCATCTTGGATCAATTCCATTGTTCACGTAGATCTATCTTAAGTCTCTTGAATCTAAGAATCAATATCTACACAAATGGTAAACATCGAAGCTCTTACAGTGTCAAGACGTGTTTTACCTAGAACCAGGCAATCTCTGAAAGATCTTACAGTGTCAAGGAAAAATATTTAAACAATGAACAAAACATTCACGATCAAAATCCTAATTCATCATTCATAAAACAGAAAATAATTGTTTTGGCAAAAGAAAGATTAACACCAAGTAAAGTAGTTCATGGTGTTGTCAAAAAGTCAACCAAAGTATCATCATTTTAATACAACCCCAAACAAAGTAAAGAAATTAAGAACAAATGATTGATTGCCAAAACCAGGGGCTCTGTCGTGACATCTTTAATCAACACAACGCCTGCCCTGACGGCCAGCCTCTCTAGAGGTCTGACCGCAGCTTTGCTATAGCCTAGCTACGGAGGACACCAAGGACGGTCGGTTGGAAGACGGTGGGGAAGCACTGCAGTTGCTCACTCACGCTTTATTTAAAGCGTTTCTTACTTCCTCGCCTCCCTTTTTTTACGGTTGTTGCTGGGTATTTATAAAGGGAAATCTCCTAGGGTTTCACGTAAGTGAAGATTCCCTAAATACTTGTTATTTTCTTGTCCAGACTAAAAAAGGAAAGGTTGATGGTTGTTGTTAGAATCTTGAGGGCTTGCTTGTACGTGAGGGTAGTCGTACAACTAGCATGTGACATAGGCAATGTTAGAGTATGCCCAAAGAACAATCATATGATGATTGTAATAATACTTTTATTTACCGATTTTATTGAATAAAGGCATTGCCACTATTATTTTCAGTTATATATTTGTGTTTAACATAAACTAGAAGATAATAAAGTCCATATAAATACATAATTGTTATTATTAAAAGATCCCTAGTCAAGCATTATTATAGGCATGGACAAATAATAATACGCTTAAGACTAACATGTTAATGATTGATGACAACGAGTTGTCATTGACATAGAGATGTCAGAATTGATACATGATTATATTGTTAGAGAACAATGTATTGGATTGACCCACCATGAGCATATGTCTTGGATTATTATGTGACAGTCATAACATTGCTCATGGTGATGACTATATGTATGATCCTCAGACTTGAGATCAATATTATCCCAACATATATTGTTGTATGTTTTGATGCAGCTAAACAAGCTCCGTAACTGGTTGCTCTATAAAGACTGTTATTGAATATATCTCAATATATGTAGTGAGTGTGTATGATTAAGATAAGATTTGTCCTTCCTACATAATAGGAAATATATCACATGCCACTTGATTGAGTAAGACTATAAATGCATGGCCATGCTCGAATAAACTATTCGTTAATTAAAGTATACTCTAGATATCAAGAAACAATAGATGGGCTATACAAGTGTGACTATTCCAAGACTTGCGCCTATTCTAGATATAAAGGACATAAGGATGTAATACATAAAAGAGTTAATCACCAAGATGATATGTCGAATCATATTTTCTTGTAACTTAGGTGACAATGATATATTGCTAGATGTCACTCATTGTATGTAATATTAGAATTTTTGTAATAATTACTGCTAACGTTACAAGAACCTACAGGGTCACACCCTAGGATTGAAACGAGCAAAGATGTACAATTTGTTGTACGTTACTAAAATATATCTAGAGTTAATTAAATATATGTTTTAATAATCCCGAATATTTATATTCAATTACTTAAATATAGATTTAATTAATTTGAAATAATAAAATCCCTAATAAGATTAAGGTAACTTGGATATAAAAGGATTATTAAATTTCAATTAATTAAATATAGATTTAATTAATTTGAAATAATAAAAAACCCTAATATGATTAGGGTAACTTGGCTATAAAAGGGTGTGTTAGGTCTAGCAGCCGTTTTAGAGAACACACACAAAACCTCAGCCATTTTTCTCTCAAAACAATTTTGCGGGAGAAAATTATTACTCTCAATAGGGTGAAATGAGTAGAGGTCGAGACGTGGTTTTCTGGAGGCATACGATTTGAACCGATCTACACCACCAGTATTCACTATTGTCCTTGCTGTTTTTCAAGGAACCCGCTGTAAGTATTCGCATCCCTTCCTTCCGATTTTAGTTTTTTATACTTGGATCACTGGTGAGACCGTCTACTTTTGTTTCCGCTGCGCCATGGGTTAAGCCGACGGTCCCAATAGGCAATTCATCATATCCGCTTCAGACTTGCAAGATAAACCTTGCCTTGGCGAGATAAATCTGCTCCTCACTATCTTTATATTCTCTATTCTACTGGCCCTTGCGAAATACTTTGTCGCGACTGAAATGTTCTTCCTTAGTTAATTTCTTGCACATACACAATCCACACAAGCCCTTTCTCCTCGGCAACATCAGTCAAACCAAATAAATCCACCACAAACAAATATAACCTAAATGCAACTAATACGATGTGAATACTTTGTTTAGACGAGCAATAACTAAAGTAAAAAACTAGAAATAAAGTCTTTTTATGGAGTTATAACACCCCATACTTCTATTGCTTGTCCTCAAGCAATGAACAGTAGCTAGAAAAAAAAATAAGATTGTCCTGACAAAGTAGTATTAAGAAAATCATGTGGTTTGAAATCTCAGCCCTCAACAAAAGTTCAGGCTCAATATGTTTGATTGTCATGTCAGTTAAGTACCTTCCCTAGTCAGGATTCCTTGTTATTGTGTGTGTGATTGTAATCAGTCAATGCATTAAAGTAATTAGGAAACTTCAAGTAAGTGCTTTTGTTTTTGTCAAGGCGACAAATTATTTATCAGGTTCAGTTTTCACTCCTAGTTATTCATCAACTTTTTCTTTTGGGAGTCAGCTCATTACACCTACCCTCCTATACTCTAGGTGAAAGGGAGCATACTTTCCACCCCCAAGCTAGTGGTTAGAGTAATCATGTGACTACTTTCATTAAATCATATGTCTCAACAACTCTTAGTTTTTATGGAGTTTCCTGGTTATGCCATTACATAGAGGAGTGTTCCTTTTATTCTTCAAGTTTTAAATACTAAGGAGTTCGACCTTAACCTTAAAATTCTTTGATGTCTCGGCAAGGAGAAAGTTCTTTCTTAAAAATTTACTAATCACCTTAAACAGAGACTGCTTACAATCGTGTTTATAATTTTTTCAAATAATCAAGCCTAAGGTTGGCTCTCTTCTTTCGACAGTTTTAAAGATATTTCTGGCCTATGCAATTAAATTATGCATTCATCATCGGGCATCCCTAATCTCTTCCAAACAATAGGCTTAACATGCTTATATCATGACAACCAAAATTTTTAACCAATTATCATCAATTTCTTTTTAACAAAGTGTGCTAAAATACCTCCCCCAAACTTGAGGGATGCATTGTCCTCAATGCATGAAAAATTAAACTACATGAATCTAAATGCAAATGCAATATGTGATGGGATGGCTTGACTAGACGAACGCGTTCTGTGTTATTTTGGAGGAGGGGGACTCTTTGATTCTGTATATTCTTCTGCAATCTGTGATGAAAATGGCTGAAGGACATGACCCGCCGTTCTCTTAATGCGTCGCTTAGTGCTCTGGGCTCGTGTTGGTATTTGTTGGTCTTCAGGTAAAGTGGGGTATGCAGGAACTGGCGTCTGGCTTTGAGTTGATTCAAGATCTAGCATTGCGTGATGGATGGGGTACTATTCAGGTGCTTGCTCGGATGCGGGTTGAGTAGGGACTGGAGTGAAATCTTCATCGGTAAAGAATT